TGACAGTGTGAAAACACATGAAGAGAGTGAGGAGGACACACGGGACATGAAGATCAGACAAAGGAGGAGCGAGGTGGTGCAGGAGCTTCCTCCACGCTGCCATCAATCTCCAGCAGGTCGGCAGGCGGAGGCAGACGTCGTTCCACGGCCCATCCTTCTGTTCACTGTCATGGACGTGTGGAACCAGGGCCCAGTGTGAGGCTCTCTTTTACTCTACAAGCAGCGGGGGAAAAAAAAACCCCAAACTGCCCTCTCTCCTCTAGACGTGCCAGATGCCCAGGACCTTATTAGTACATCCTCGAAGCCGTGGGTCGCAGCCCAGTGACGTGTCAAAGACAGAAAGCAGAGGAGCAGAATGAACTTAATAAACATCAGCCACACCAGAGCATGGGAAATGATCGCCATCACGTCGTATTGTTCAAACCGCGGGGCCGCAGGTGGGGGCAACTTTCACTGTGGTCACCACGTTAAGACCAGAACCTTCCTGGCAGTCACAGCAGCATGTTCTCATTACAGAGCCCTGGGTTCAAGGCCCACTCTGTGGAGGACTTCTAACAACTGGTGAGTGTGGAACTGGAACTGGAACTGGAACTGGGTTCTTGGACTTGGTTCTGTTGACACCTGTGTTTCCATGGACACACAGTCCAACACTGCTGATAATGTTGATTCATCTCAACTAATCACGATCAATCAACAGAAAGTTAGAACAGATGCTGCGTTCAGAGTAAACCTGTCGACCAATCACAGCCCACGTCGGAGAACTAACTGCTCAGTTTCAGGAAATAAACTGAGTCATGAAAGAAGGAGAAAAAATCCTGAGCAACTTGTTCTTTTTTCAAAATTCCCAGCTCAAACTAATATGTTACCATGGTAACGGACATTGTAACGGGCAGCTTTAGGGGGAGACACTGTGACCTTAAAGGAAGGTATGTAAACACCACTTTATATTCTGGGCTGGCCCTGGACCAGAGGAGGCCTGGGAAAAATGTCTGCATGTGCAGGAGATTTGAAATAAATATCCAGGCTCCCATTGTGGAGCTCCAACAAAGAGGAGTATCTTAGTAACACCACACGGGTTTACTCTCCCTCCCTC